TACGACGGCGATCACGAAGTTAATCCCATTGAAAATAATCTACAAGAAACGATTTCAAATCGCGAAGGTGCGAAAACGAACATGTGATATAACGATATAAGGTCTCAAAAGTGATTCTGATTCTACCGCTCATCAGTCAAGGCCGTCTCAACATAACGAAACAATATCGTCTTCCACAGCGCGAGTTGGCATCGGAACGTAAGAGAAAGTCCTTGCGTGTATCGCTATATCGTTATATCGTCTTCTTCACTCGACGGCTTAAATCAGATTTCTGATGCATCGCTTGGAATGAAAGTCGCTGTATCGGTTTGCCGATATAGGCGTTAAATCGATATGTCGCGATATATCGATTTACAGCCCAGTCCTATTCATGACCTATCAATTTTATGCTGATGACAACCAAACCAAATTGAAAATTAATATTGGGAAAACTGGATCACACCACGTGATTTTCTGGCCAATAAAAATGCACCGACAACAATGGAAAACTTCGACACCATCTTTAGATTTCTATATATAGCTAGATAAGTCACAAAAGAGAATAAAACCGTTTCGAAATTGAACAGAAATACAATATAAGGTTATTTTTATAGAAATGCTAAAAAATAGAGGTGATTATTTTTTATATCCAAGTTATCGTTCATTTTGTTACAATAAAGATGCAAACAATAAACATACCAACTTTTTTTTATTTTAAATATTGACATTTAAAGGGGGGGAATGAATAAGAGGGGGTTAGTGAACAAAGCCTTCTAGTTTTAAAAATATTCGTTTTTCATTTTTTTTGGTTTGTATTATTTGGCTTATGTAATGTGCCACTTTAACTAATGAATTGTTATGTTAATAGGAATCACATTATATCAAGTGTGATTGTGGTCAACCATCAAATGAGGTTATCCTCCACACGTAAATATTTAAAAGAGGGATCAGCGGGTGAAAAACTAGTACACGGGTGCAACATAGGCGTAAGTTGACATTTTTCACATCTTGCATATAGAAATGATTACTTTTTTTACATTTGTGTCATTAGATTTTGTTGTTGTTGTTGTTTCTAATGCGATTTGCTACACTAGCAAGCCTGCTTGGTGAAACCGAGCAAATTGAAGGCAGAGGGTGCGTTTCTTGTTTTTCAGTGGAGCCATCTATGGCCAAGAATTCGTCTTCAGCCACTCACACGTCACATCCGTTTATAGGGCGAATCCGTTCATTCATCTACAGATTGTAATTTTTGACCTGGATCAGAGAACGATCGATCTCCAATCCAGTACCCCCAGAAGTCTGGATTTGTTATGGGAACATGGAGGACTTTGCGACNGACCCATTCATACATCCATTCATTCATCCACAGATTGTAATTTAGACCTCAATCAGAGAACGATTGATCTCCAATCCAGTACCCCCAGAAGTATGGATTTGTTATGGGAACATGGAGGACTTTGCGGCTCGACAGCTTTAACGTGCATCAGTCACCATTTACTACACGGGGAGTCTTGAGGCAGGTGGGGTTCGAACCCACGAACTATCGGACATGGGCCCAGCGCCCTACCTACCAGGCTATCCCGGCCTTTTTTTTCTTTTTGCAGCAGCAGCAGCACATATAAAAAATTAATAACTCCTTTATTAAGATTAAAAATGGGTGCATTTTTAAATATTAGAAATATTTTTAAATTTAAAAAAAAAGCTAGTTTTGATCAAAAATTTTCACATTGATTAAAATCAAAATGTAACTTTCAATTATATTATATTCTTACATCATATTATTGATGAAATTTATTTAAATACTTAATAAATATCCATATTACAAACGCTTTTTATTCTCTAAATATATCAATTGGTGGTTTTTTCATAGAGGGCGCTGGCTAATGACCTTGCCACTCATAATCCAGAACTTAATGAGTCATTTCGTTAAAAACTGTTGAAGAAGCCATCTTTCTAAAAGAGATAATTATTTATTTATTTATTTTTAATCGTTGCAGGCTGGCCAATTGTCTTCATTTATTGAGCTTATTCCGTTTTTAATTTTCGAACTACTCTGTAAACACGCGAGTTAAAATTGCCAACTGATGAATTTCAAAAAGAAATAAAAATATCATTTTGTGATCTCTTACGAATAGTTTTCGATCACAATTGTACTTTTGTACAATTTATTGAAAAGTTAAAACTAAATAAGATTATTTCATACGTTGTCATTTTTTGAGGTTTTTGTACTCATTTCTTTAATTAGTTTATAAGAGACATCGTGACACGTAGGTAATTTTAGCGTGGATTGATTATTATTTTAAAAGCCAATTACAACTGTTCCACTAAATGTACTTTCTATTCTTACTTTACGTGAAATTGGACGTTACGTTAACTTTTAATTTTTTAGTTTGATTAGATCTTTAAAATTCTATTTACTGATATAGAAAAAAATTCTAAAAATTGGATAATACACTATCCGGCCAAAAGCATCAGGAAACACGGCTGTTAGGGTGGTGGAAGCATAATTGTGTGGGGGTGCTTCTTTGGCCTTTGTCCGTTACTTCCTGTGGTTGGAAACATGAATTCTGAGATGTGTATGTGCACAATTCTGCACTCTTAACTCTAATGACAATATTTCAGCCCATTTCTCTGTCATTCACAAATCGAGACTTGCGCAGACGTGGTTTGACGGAATAAATACTCACAAGCTGGACTGGCCTTCTCAGAACCCCATAGAACAACCTTTGGTACGAATTAGAGCGCAGATTTTGTAGCCAGATAAATCCTCATTGCAAGCACTCGCTTAAGCTGTGATGGAAGTCAATTCCTATCAAAAAACTGTTGGAAAGTCTTCCCAGACGTGTGTGCAGGTTGTCATGGATGCAAAAGGGAGACCATGCATCATATCAATGTGTCCATAAGTCCATACCACTAGGCATCAGGATACTCTTGACCGGATAGTGTATATCTTTCGAATGAAGGCGCGTCAATATCGATGATTGTAATAAGTGTTCTTTTAGGTGTCATGGAATGAAAGTATAGACTGTTGGTGGGACAAAGAAATGGAAGAATCTCCAGATGTCTGTGATCCAGTTTGGTTAGATGCTGAACACACACTTTTCACTCTCTACACCAGGTGAGGACTGGCTTTAATTGTTTAATAGAACATAAGCCCTGAGTAACTTTCGGTCTGATGATCGGGTTTTAATGTATGTGTTACTGTGAATAACCGAAATAGGTGGTTGTTGACTTTTACCGGTGAATGTTGACAGTCATATAGTTTATTTAAGGTTCAGTGTTACTGCCCGGTATGCCCTACATCAATGTTTTTTTTAAGTGCCGAGTATGCATTTAACCGGTACTCCGAACACTGATGTTTTTCCTAATTTATCCTCAGCAGATATTAAAATATCAAATAAATATAATAATATCAACGAATAAATGAATATGGAATCGGTTATAACAAATATTTCAGACATTCACCAAATTATGATCGCCTATGTGATTGTTGACATTCACCGGTGAAAGTCGGCATTCTCTTGATTTCGGTCAATCTTAGTAGTATGCTACTGTAAAACACTGTTTATATATCGTTCGGGATATCATTCGAAGCATAAACGAAAAGATGTATAACTGAAAATGGAACAAAATAATAGAAATTCATCCTATCACAAGAATTACGGATAAGCCATCTTCCACAAAAAAAAAAAAAAAAAAAAAAAAAAAAAAAAACTTTATATGACTCGCAAGCGGTAAATGAAACTTCTTAATCATAAAGTTACGGTTAATACTACGATTGCACTGAACTATTACATTTACAATGTAATTATGTATACTTTTTGGACATCAATGTGAACTAATTTCTTTTTATAAATCAATCTCAATTCAAAAAATACTTTCGCATAACATTACTGGAAGAAAATGGCCCTAGAAGTGATTCAAAAAGAAGACAGAAATGATAATCGTAGAATGACAACAAATGGCGCTGCCTGCTGTAAAACTGTTTTTTGTTGCAGGTCTTTAAGCATCAGCTAATTTTGTCTGCTGAAAAAGATGTTTATTTTGAAAACCTTCTTTTTTTGGTGGGTTTCATATTTCGAACTTGGTGACTACTTACAAGGATATTAAGAAAATAAAATTAATTCTTAAAACGAACGCATTCCTATGCAACTCCGTTTTTTTTTATTATTACACCCAATGGATGGTTTGAGTGAATGCAAACAATAACTTGCTTCCTTAAACTGGAAGAAATTTAGAAAACTTCCGATGTATCCCTCCGCTTATGTTATGCTTACGAGGCGATGTGTGAATAGTCTTAATATTCCAGAAAGTTTTATTATTGTGATTTGTGCTTAAATTTGCACTTTATTTTACCATTCATAAAACTTTTATGTAATTTATAAATTCAAACAGGTCACAAGCCTAAAACAAATTTAACAAAATTAGTGCCACAACATAAATAAAGTGAATGTTTGGTACCGCAGGTGGCCAGCCGACCCGCGAAACGGGTTTACGACTTTTCACTGCCACTGCGTTGCTTCTCACCTTCACATCCGGAGGTCAGGACTCAGGCCCGTCGGACGCGGAAGCCAATTAGCCGTCACCCAGAAGACGCGTGTGCAGTCCTGCGCACCTAGTACCTAATCCTACAACCCTACAGACCTACTAAGCCCGTCTGTAGAGGCTTGCTGAAAGGGAATGGATTAGTACAAACAAAATTACAATTACAATTACAAAATTAATAAAAGTTACCATTAAAACAGTTAATTATTGAGCGATTGTGGTTACTTAAAAGATAATTAAAAACCTTAATTAGCAGCTGACATTATTACATATAAATTATAACAGATTACATGATTATCGACTAAATACGTTAATTCTTAATTATTATTAACATATTAATTATTACAGTTACAATAAAGACCATTAGTTATTATTGTGCAATTATAGTTACTAAAATAGATTATTAAAAGCTTACTTAGCAACTTACATTATTGTAGATAAATTGTAGCTAATTACATAAATTACACGTGATAAGAGACTAATAACGATAATTATTATAACTATTAACAGGATAGCTAACTTATAAACTTACTTATAAACATAACTATTGGGGATACTTATAAACTGGCTTCACATTTATTGAACATTTATTAATTATTATAGGGAACTGTGTTGAGTCAGTAACAATTATTGTTAATTATTACTAATGGGGATTGTTATCGCGTTATGGATCAGTATCAGTTAAAGTGAATGTTTGCCAGTTAAAGTTAAAGTGAATGTTGAATGCTAAAGTGAATGTTGAAAGTTATCTCTTATTTGACTATATTTGTGTAAAATAGCACCGTTTGCTATTTTTTGGGTAGCATCATAGCAAGCCTGTGGAGTTTTCCAAATTCATTTGTTGTTAGCTTCGCTGAAAGTTAAATTGAAAAAGCGCATTCTATTGAAAACACTACAAGTATAATAAAATTGGACTAAGCGTTTTTTCAAGCTCAGACGTAAAAATCATTTGGAAATAGTAACCCGGAAGTCTTACGGCGAATTTCAACTCCTAGTTCCACCTGCGCTTAGCTTTACGCGGTCAAGCATTGTGTATTTTTTTAAGTTCTTCTTTTTTGACTTGCAGTGGATCTACCGGTAGTCCGAAGGGATGTGTCCATACGACTGGAGCCTATATGGTGTATGGGGCTGTCTCTTTTAAATTAATCTTCGACTACTATCCCGGAGATGTCTTCTTCTGCACTGGAGACATTGGTTGGCTCACTGGGCACACGTACATAGTATATGGATCACTACTAAACACAGCCACCTGCATTCTGGTAAGTTTAAATCCATTAACTGCGAGGAAAAAACATAGTTACTGTTGTTTGAGTGTATGGTATTGTGCTAAAAAGTGGAGAACATTTTTATTTTCATCTGGTGTCAATAAAGAAAATTGAACATCATTTCACATTTTCATTCACCAGCCTTAAGAGGACGCCATACTGCGGAGGAAAATTTTCCTCTCAAATTCTCTTTCGCATTCATTACTCATTAAAAATTTAAAGTATTGAAAAAGTAAGTTCAGGCAAACCTAGAGTAAGCTATGAAGTTTCGAATACTGAAAAGATAAATTTGTTGTTGTTGTTGCTAATGCCAGTTGCCACACAGGCAAGCCTGATGGGTGAAACCGAGCAAATTTTAAGGCAGAGTGTGAATTTCTTGTTTCTCAGTGGCGCCATCTATGGCCAAGAATTCGACTTCTGCCACACCATACGTCGCATCCGCTTATAGGGCGGACCCATTCATTCATCCACAGATCGTAATTTTGACCTGAATTAGAGAACGATCGATCTCCAATCCAGTACCCCCAGAGGTATTGATTTGTTATGGGAACATGGAGGGCTTTGCAACTCGACAGATTTAATGTGCATCAGTCACTTTACTACACGGGGAGTCTTCGGTCGACGGGGTTCGAACCCACGACGTCTTGGACATGTCCCACGGATGGGACAAGGGCCCAGCGCCCTACCGACCAGGCTATTCCGGCATATAATATAATAATAAATGATAACTTAAGATTGCGAGCCGCGATGGCTCATGTGATAGAGCGTTCGCCTTCCAGTGACGCGAACAGGGTTCGAATCCCAGTCGATACGAATTTTGCATCCGGCTTGCACCGACCACAGTGCTGACGTAAAATATCCTCAGTGGTAGACGGATCATGGGTTAGAGTCCCCTTGACGCGAGGCTAATCGTTCGTGAGAGGTTCTAGCGGTGTTCCTCTCCATGTAACGCAAATGCGTGTTAGTTCCATCAAAAAGTACCTGAGGAAATATTTCCGCCGATACTTGATCCAGGAGTTCCCTTGTCTTCTGGATTGGGTTCTAAATTACAAGGCTACGGAGTTGAACATTAGTTGTCATAAGCCCAAAAAAATTGGGTCGGCTGTTCAACGACTTTTATAATATAATATAAGATACTCTCTTCATATTAGGGCCGGGATAGCCTGGTTGGTGGGGCACTGAGCCCATGTCCAAGAGGTCTTGGGTTCGACCACCGCCGGCCGAAGGCTCCCCGTATAGTAAATGGTGACTGATGCACGTTAAATCTGTCGAGTCATAAAGTCCTCCATGTTCCCATAACAAATCATACCTCNCCCAGAATTCGACTTCTGCCACACCCATATGTCACACCAGTTTACGGGACGGACCCATTCATACATCCATTCATTCATCCACAGATCGTAATTTTGACCTGAATCAGAGAACGATCGATCTCCAATTCAGTACCCCTAGAGATTTTAATTTGTTATGGGAACATGGAGGACTTTAGCAACTCGACAGATTTAATGTGCATCACTCACTTTACTACACGGGGAGTCTTCGGTCGACGGGGTTCGAACCCACGATCTCTCGGACATGGGTCCAGCGCCCTACCGATCAGGCTATTCCAGCAAATAATATAATGATAAATGATAACTTAAGATTGCGAGCCGCGATGGCTCAGGTGATAGAGCGTTCGCCTTCCACTGAGACGAACAGGGTTCGAATCCCAGTCGATACGAATTTCGCATCCGGCTTGCACCGACCACAGTGCTGACGTAAAATATCCTCAGTGGTAGACGGATCATGGGTTGGAGTCCCCTTGACGTGAGGCTAATCGTTCGTGAGAGGTTCTAGCGGTGTTCCTCTCCATGTAACGCAAATGCGTGTTAGTTCCATCAAAAAGTCCCTGAGGAAGGCAAATTTCCCCCGATACTTGATCCAGGAGTTCCCTTGTCTTCTGGATTGGGTTCTAAATGACAAGGCTACGGAGTTGAACATTAGTTGTCATAAACCCAAAAAAATTGGGTCGGTTGTTCAACGACTTTTATTATATAATATAAGATACTCTCTTCATATTAGGGTCGGGATAGCCTGGTTGGTGGGGCTCTGAGCCCATGTCCAAGAGGTCTTGGGTTCGACCACCGCCGGCCGAAGGCTCCCCGTATAGTAAATGGTGACTGATGCACGTTAAATCTGTCGAGTCATAAAGTCCTCCATGTTCCCATAACAAATCACACCTCTGGGGTACTGATCCAAGAGTTTCCTAGTCCTCTGGATTGGTTCAAACTTACAAGGCTACGGAGTTGAATATTAGTACTCGTAAACCCAAAATTAGGTCAGCTGTTCAATGACGGTTCTAAAATAAAATATACTCTGTTCATGATCTGCGATGGCTCAGGGGAAAGACCGTTCGCCTTCCAATGAGGTGAACCAGGGTTCGGTCCCGGCGATGGCTGGTCGATACGAATTCCTCATCCGGCTCGCACCGACCACAGTGCTGACGTGAATCCTCAGACGGATCATGGGTTTGAGACTACTAACCGTGAGGCTAATCGTGGTAGGTTCTCGTTGTCTTTCTCTCCATGTATGCAAATGCGGGTTAGTTCCATTAAAAAGTCCTCCACGAAAGCAAATTTCTCCCAATGCTTGATCCAGGAGTTCCCTTGTCTTCTGGATTGGGTTCAAAATTACAGGGCCACGGAATTGAACATTAGTTGTCATAATAGAATAGCCGCCTCATGTTTACGTAATTTCTCTCCTCTTGGCGATTTCTCCTTCTCTGTTGCCATTGCTTTGGCAAATCTTTTACACGGTAAAACGTTTTAGTAATAAGTGGGTACACACTTCCACGGGGAAATAAAACAAGATTTGGCAAAAATAGTAACGGAGAGGGAGAAAGTGCGAAGAATGGAGAAATCGCGTGACCTTGAAACGCCTATTCTATTTAGAGTACCATCATACGTTATGTTTTTAACATGGATTTTAAGTATTCTTCTTCTTTCAGTATGAAGGAGTGCCCGCGTACCCAGATCCAGGACGTTACTGGTCCATCGTTGAAAAGTACGCCGTGACTCAGTTTTACACAGCGCCAACAGCCATCAGGACTCTCATGAAGTTTGACAACTCCTTTGTAACGAGGTACTCTCTTCTTTCTTCTGTTTTGTAACTACTTAGCAAACTTTAAAAATAAACAAGCTATACTTATTCCTATTGGAACTGACGCATTCCATCACATGTTAATATTGGTGGCAACGAGACAGCAGATTGATTGGCCAAAGAGGGCAGTGAGGAATATATATCCACCGGGTCATCACTTACTTATCAGGAGCTTTACTCCAGTGAAAAATATAGACAAAAATCAATCTGGCAAACTCCACCTACGCACCAATGGTACACCGCAAGATCTCCTGGCACCCATATGGGAATCAATTGCGATCGAAGCTCCCATACTGCCTTGGCCAGATTCTCAACTGGCCACCTAAAATGTCTAACATTCGAACATGGCACAAAAATTTACCCGACTTGTAAAAAATGCTGTGTCCATCCAGCCTCACCGAAACATGTACTTGATTGTGTTGGACTATCCAGGGCCGACTTCCCCTTCTTGCCATCGATTTTCTGGTTGTCAACAGCTTTTTGGAGTTGATCTGACTAATGTCAGATCTATGAGGATAAGCAACAACAACATCAGAACTGACTCAGAATAATCGGCGCTTTCTGACTTGTACTAATACCAGATTTCCCGAAAATGACCATCGCACAATTGAGAAAGTACTTGCCTACCACGGCTTAGTCCGGGGTTCAATTCTGATGGTTTTATCCGATCGTGTCATCCGTGTTCATTCGATTTGTACCGAATCGACACTCTAAGTGGTTGGACAGTTGCAAAATATGCAGCAAAGGCCGCTTGCATAATTGTATTGTTATGTGTGCCAGTATTGTCTTCAGATCCCCATTAAGGATAAATCTTATCCATTCACTGATAGCTTATTGGTGTAGCCGTGGTGCTACATTTAAAAACCAAACCCAATGCCCAATTGTTTAAAAATGAATTGAAAAAAGACGAAAAGATATAAAAAAATATATGGTTTGTTGCATTCCTGCTTAATAAACCAGGAGGATATACCATTCACAAAGTTTCAAAATTAGTTTTAAGGTTTGTCAAAAAATTGCGCGGCTAACTGAGAAGCATTGTTTTTTAAAATATCCTCAGTAACAGCATCTTGAGCTGTATGAGAACAAAATTTAGTTGAAATTCTCTGTCGGGCACTGTTCAAGAACTTAGTCGCTAAGTTACTGAGTTTTCAAAGTTTCCTAAGAAACAGTGCATTACTATCTTCTTCTGCTCTTTCCTCCAATTTTCATTTATTTTTAGGGACAGCCGGTAAAAGCTAACAAAAAATGTCGAGTTTCAAACCATCTACTTATAAACTATTTTGCTAAAACTGTACTATGTACTATAATCTGCGCGTTTTCTCGAACTATAAAGTCATGGTGGCTCAGTAGATAGAGTGCTCTACACCAGATGGGGTGACCCCAGGTTCTAATCCCAGCATAGGCTAGTCCAGGGATGGTCAAGCCCCTTGACAGTCGAGCCATTTTTCAAAATTTGAAATTTTTCTCGAGCCGCAATTAAAAACGCATTTAAAAGGTATGCAAAAAAGGTATTAAAAAATTTTGCTTACAGAGATTATATTTATTGAAAACATATAAATGAAATTAAAAAATATGTGTATTGAGTTTAAATATTAAACACGTCTATTTTACTTCACTTGATAATTCTTTAAAGTTTGGTGAATAATTAGTGACAGCACTTCTCAGTAATTCTTTGAGATGCTGGCTAGTTAATACTGATCAGTGTTTGGATTTCATGAATTTTAAAGTGGAACAGAATGATTCACATAAGTACGTTGTTCTGAATATTGAAATAATTCGGCAAGTAGCCTTTTTTAATTCAGGATACTTCGATTCTGGTACAAATGTCCCAACTTTAGTAATCGGCGTCGACTTAAATTTTAATTGCAGAGCTTGATCGTCTTGCATCTCGATTAATTCTAATACTTTAGATGCTTTTTGGGTCATAATTATATTGGAAATGGAAAGCTCGCCTTGAATTATGTTAATTTCAAATGGATTCAGAAAAATATTAAAATATAATAGCACAGAAATGAAAAGGGAACTCTAGTACTTTTATCAAGAGCCACAAATGATCGTTCAAAGAGCCGCATGTGGCTCGCGAGCCGCAGTTTGGCCACCCCTGGGCTTGTCGGTTCAAATTCTTCTTAAAGTTTGCACCACGCTGATGTAAAAGTATCCTTAATGATAGACGGATCTTGGGTTAAATACCCCTGCCATCGGTCTAACCGTGGGTAGTTTTTGTTATTTTCCATGTAACGCACATGTGGATTAAAAAGATCTTCACGAAGGCTAGTTTGACCCAATGATTGATCCAGGAGTCTTCTGAGTTGGGTTCAAATTTATAAGTCTACGGAGATGAACACTGACAGTCATAATTTTAAAAATGGGTCAATGGGTAATTTTAAAAAAGGAAATTAAAATTTTTGGGGCCCTTTAGATTAATTTTCTTTTCACGTATATTTCTTATTTATTCAAATATAAAAGTGTTTATATATCTTTTCATTTAAGAAAGCATGTTTAAAACTAAAAAAATAATAATAATAAATTGAATTTTACTTTATTTTGTTAAATTAGAACTGAACTAAAAAATAATCATAAAATTTTGAAAATGTTATGATTATTTTTTGATCAAATAGAATTACGGACACTAAATAATTATAGAACACTGAAACAATTATGAGATACTTCAGTTGAGGCACTAAATAACTTCTTTTACCATTTAAAACGTCTCAATAATGTCAACAGCATTTGCTTCTTGTTTAAACAAGTCTCAGCTTGCTATAGTACTGCCTTCAATTTTTTCGCGCAAATCAAAATGACAAATTTGAACTTAAAGAAACATTGATAAGTCTTATAGTACATAAACTATATTAATACTTATAAATAATAACTAAAATAAGTAATAAATAAATATGATTAACATTATGGGGAAAAAAATTATCGTATTTTATTAATATATATTGAAAATTGATTTTTTTTTAAATCATTGTTTTTCCTAATTTTTTTAATTTATTTTCAAAACATCCATTTTAAGGGGGCCCCTTATCATTGGGGGCCCTAGGCCATGGCCTAGTCTGGTCTAATGGGTAAGGCAGCACTGCAGCAAAGCATGAGTCTATTGTAAAGGCAGATTTTATTTCTAAGACGTTGCTTATAACACGAAACGCCCATGACATTTAAACTGATTTCAACCGGAAATGAAATTTTTTATTATAGTAAATATCAATATTTAAAGGACCGTCAATTAAAATGATTATATCAGAACTTCATATAGAGAATGGCCTATAACTGCCTTTGTGAAGGCCGTTCTGTAACGACAACATTTAACACATATTTTGAAAATACTTGTAAAAAATAATCACATTAGGGGTTTGACGAAATTTAATATCTTTTCGCGGAAAAACGAAAATAGCATCAAAATCTTATCAACCCCAAGTGAGGACAGTAAAACATCAAAACCTGTTTCATTTCTGGACAGACAAAAAACAATTGAGAAACGATTGTTAGAAACACTATCAATCAAACTGGTTTCGATGTTTTTCATGTCCCCTTTCCTGTTTATTAGATATTTATAACATTTCTTTCTGACTTAAATATTAACCCTTTGCTTACGGTGTTCATCTGTACCATCACATGTGGTCCACATGGTGTGCCCGCCGTAAGTAAGAGGTTAATTTCAGCTTACTAAGTGGTCGTTTAAATATTAAGTAAGCACCTTACCGAGGTTTGTGATTTACTTATTTTTGATGACAAGGATGGAGCAATGCTTACGTAACACATTAAGCTCCCCTTACTTTTAAAATTTTCTTTAAAAGCAAGACCAAAAATGTAAAAAAACAATAATGCATAGTGAAGAATTTCAAATTTGTTATAAAAGTTGAATTCAGGAAGAAAAAAATTTGAAAAGTTTACTGAAAAGTCAGTACTCAAGATTATTAAAGATTGTTCAACTCAAAAATTTTATAAAATGAACTAAACCGTATAATTTGTTTCATGCAAAGTTAAATCTTAATCTTAAAATTATATTAATAAAAGTAAAAACCAGGAGGATTTTTGCTGCGACTTTCTTACGTTAGCAAGCGAGAAAGTTTGTGTATGCTGAGTAAAAAATTACCAATAATATGCTTACGTAATATTTATACGGCCCGTGATTTTTCTTCATTTTTTAAAGGAAACACCGTTTATACGAAACATATTTTTGTTTTCAATATTATAGGCATGACAGAAGTAGCATTCGTCTTTTGGGTTCTGTTGGTGAGCCCATCAACCGAGATGCCTGGTTCTGGTACCACGGTATTGTGGGTGAAGGTCGTGTACCCATCGTCGATACCTACTGGCAAACCGAAACGGTAAATTAAGTGTACAATTGTATATTTAGATTCATTTTAATTGTGGTATATGGAGGGTTCATTAGCGCTCTTCACAGCGCTGAGTGGTTGGTTTGTGTAACGGTTAATCTCTCCTTTAAATGTAACATTAAGGTAGGGATATCCTGGTTGATAGGGCGCTGGGCACATGTCCGAAAGTTTGTGGGTTCGAACCCGCCGGCCAAGCTTCCTAAAACAGGAAGAAATTTCGAGAACTTCCGGTGTATCCCTCCGCTTAAGATATGCTTATGAGTCGATGTGTGAACAGGCTTAATATTCCTCGAAGTTTTACTAATGTGATTGTTGTTATAACTTACATGGAATTTTACCATTCATAAGAGTTTTCTGTGTTCTATAAATTCTAACAGGTAATAAGCCTAAAACACAAATTTAGCAAAATTAATATCACAGCATAAATATAGTGTTAAAGTTAGCCTTGTTTTGAAAGTTATCCCTAATTTGGCTATATTCGTGCAAAATCGCACCGTTTATTATTTTTTGTGTAGCATCATAGCTAGCTTGCGAAGTCTTCCGAAATCATTTGTTGTTTGTTTCCTTGAAAGTTAGATTCAAAGAACGCGTTATATTTTAAACAGTACCAAGTATTTGAAGGTGCGTTTTTTTTCTTCAGGTTTAGGCGTAAAAATTAGTCGGAAGTAGAAACCCGGAAGTTTTTCGACGAGCCATATGCGTTTAGCTTTACACGGTCAGCCATTCTTAACAAGCCGTGATGGCTCAGGGGATAGAGCGTTCGCCTTCCAGTGAGGCGAAACGGGTTCGAATCCTATCAATACGAGTTCTGCATCCAGCTTGCATCGTTAACATGGGTTAGAGTCCCCTTGCCGTCAGGCTAACCGAGGGAGGTTCAAGTGATCTTCCTCTCCATTTAACGCAAATGCGGGTTAGCTCCATCAAAAAGTCCTTCACGAAGGCAAATGTCTCTCAATACTCGATCCGGAGCTCCCTTGTCTTCTGGATTGAGTTCAAAATGACAAGGCTACGGAGTTGAACATTAGAAGTCGTAAACCCATAAAATTGGGTCGGCTGCTCAACGACGATTATAAAATAAAATAAAAAACATCCTTAACATGCGTTTTCTTTTTTCGATCAGCTAGTAAGTAATTTATGCAATTTATGTAATATAGCGTAACATAAGAAAAGGGAAGAGTTGTAGGGATGGTGAAATGTGACACTTTTAACAAGGATGTTAAGGGTGGTTCAAAATATTTAAAATTAAAGGTGTGACATCGCTTATAAATGGTCCCTTTGCNCATATGCGTTTAGCTTTACACTGTCAACCATCCTTAACGAGTCGTGATTGCTCAGGGGATAGAGCGTTCGCCTTCCAGTGAGGCGAACCGGGTTCGAATCCCAGGTGATACGAATTCCGCATCCGGCTTGCACCGACCACAGTGCTGACGTAAAATATCCTCAGTGGTAGACGGATCATGGGTCAGAGTCCCCTTGCCGTCGGGCTAACCATGGGAGGTTCACGTGATCTTCCTCTCCATGTGACGCAAATGCGGGTTAGCTCCATCAAAAAGTTCTCCACGATGGCAAATGTCTCCCAATACTCGATCTGGAGTTCCCTTGTCTTCTGGATTGGGTTCAAAATGACAAGGCCACGGAGTTGAACATTAGTAGTCATAAACCCATAAAATTGGGTCGGCTGTTCAACGACGGTTATAAAATAAAATAAAAAACATCCTTAACATGCGTTTTCTTTTTTCGATCAGCTAGTAAGTAATTTATGCAATTTATGTAATATAGCGTAACATAAGAAAAGGGAGGAGTTGTAGGGATGGTGAAATGTGACACTTTTAACAAGGATGTTAAAGGTGGTCCAAAATATTTAAAATTAAAGGTGTGACATCGCTTATAAACGGTCCCTTTTGCAAAGTTAACATTTAACTAAAAGAGTAAATAGCATTTGCCCATAGCTGAGTTCTCAGACAGTTCACCATAGCGGAGGTTCTACTGTAGAAGTATTTGTATTCTTTGATACAATTAATACGCAATTACAGTCGTACTTATTACAATATTCAACGATATTTTAAACTGTTTATAATGGTATGATGCATCAGTTATGAATTAATTGTAATTCTAGGGAGGATTTTTGATGACTCCTGTACCATTCTGTACCCCATTAAAGCCAGGATGTGCAGTAAGTATCAATTTATGTCATCCTTCAATTTGTAAACTCAATTGAAATATCTTATCTCCAGTGATCACGCAATTGAAACAGGTTCTTTCACCGGGTGATTATGACAGGAATTTTTTTTTCAGAACTTATTTTTAAATTAAATACATGCTAATAATACACTTGTTTATTTGTTTTTTCAATAACATCAGCTAGTATGGTGTGGCTGAAGTCGAATTCTTGGCAATAGATGGCGCCACTGGAAAACAAAAACTATCGTATCCCGTCTGCCTAAACAGGCATACGTCAACAAACAATAACATCAGCTTTTAAAGTAGTTTGCTTAATTGATACGGGCTGGTTGGCAGTGCACTGGACAACTCGAATCCAGTCAGTCGAAGGCTCCTCGTGTAGTAAATGGTAACTGGTGTACGTTAAATCTGTCGGGTCACGACGTCCTGCATGTTCCCATAACATTTTATACCTCTGGGGGTACTGATTTGGAGATTGATCGCTCTGTGGTTCAGGTCAAAATTACGATCTGTAGACGAATGAATGGATGTCTGAATGGATCCACCCCATAAACGAGTGTGACGTATGGAAGTGACAGAAGTCGAATTCTGGGCCATAGATGGCGCCACTGGAAAACAAGGACAATCGCACTCCCTCTGCCTCAATGGCCGACGACGTAGAAGGAACTTGATTGATTGATTTTGAAATTATGCAATATATCAACGAATTTTTCATTGAACGATTTTTAATGCATCTCTTGTTGTATTTACCAAAAGAAGCTTTTATTCTTAACTTCTAAATTAATAACATAAATGTAGCGCAAAAAAATATTGCGAAACAAAAAACAAAAAGAAAATTTTAATTTTAATTTAACAAAAATATCTCACCTTGTGAGAAAAAACACAAGAAAGTTCAAATAAAAAGAAGAAAAAGAATGTTCTACTAATTCTTTTAAAAAATAAAAGAGGAAACGTGAACCACCAATATAATATGTCCTTTTTTAATTTCATGCTTTTTGCCAACCTGGTTAAGTATGACTCGTCTATCTTCAACAGCAATTTAAATTCTGTTCTTTGAAAATAATCGTCTGCTACTATGTCTTTGAAAATAATCGTCTGCTACTATGTCAATCTTCAACATCTCTCTTTTTTCTTTTTTTTTATTAATTTCATTTAATTCTTAATAAAGAGACTTTACATAGCAGATTTTAATTCAGTCTGTTATTTGCTTAAAACATTGCTAATTTTATTATTATAAAAGATAATTGAGAACACGGATAAGCTTTGAAATAATTACTGGTCTGTTTGTTACATATTTTTAAACATCATTATCAGCGATTGCACCGTGATTAAGAAATTGAACTGTCATAGCGATCTCGGGAGGCTATTATGCAATCTAGTGGGCGATAAGCTTTCTTGTTTGGCGGTTCTCCTCTTGGCGCATTTTTGTTAGACGTCACCTTGATAAGAATTTCTAAAAAAAGCACAAACGATTCTTATCTTTAGTTTTGGAATTAATAAATTTTCAAAGTAATTTACGAATTGTATATTTTTAAAACATCAAGTTACACATGTCTGTTAGCAAACATTTTAGTTATCATTTTATTAATGACTGGAATAAAAATTTTAACAGTATATTATTTTTACTCGTTTATTTTAACTAATATCTAACTTATGATCAGCACTTTTTTGTTAATTGTATATAAATCAAACGATTACTTTTTTTTATAGGAAATTGTTTGTTAGTTTTAATCATTTTCAATAATGTAATATAAAATATTTTACCTTATTGTTTTTTATTTTATAACCGTCGTTGAACAGCCGACCCAATTTTGGAATTACGACCACTAATGTTCAACTCGGTAGCCTTGTAATTTAGAACCTAATCCTGAAGACAAGGGAACTTCCTGGATCAAGAAGCATTGAGAGAAATTTTGTCTACGTGGGGGACTTTTTGGTGGAATTAACCCGCATTTGCGTTACATGGAGAGGAAAACCACGAGAACCTCTCATGATTAGCCTGACGGAATGGGACTCTAACCCATGATCCGTCTACCACTGAGGATATTTCACGTCAGCACTGAGGTCGGTGCAAGACGAATGCGAAACTCTTACCTCAGCCAACGCCGGGATTCGTACCCGGTTCACCTCATTGGAAGGCGAACTCTCTATCCCCTGAGCCATCGCGACTCTTACTGTTTGTTGCATTTCTTATATTATATAAAGCAATTATTAAACTAGGATGCATATTATAATTGAAGGATTTACAGTGAGTTACCGTGGGTCGGTTTTTTGATGCTTATTTATTCTTTTTTTTAATATATATATACATATATTTATGCACCTTGCATAGATAATAAGTGTTAGTACTTTTTTCTTGGTTTTAATCCTTGGTTTCCATGTTTTTTTTTTTTTTTTAACAAAGTAACGCTCAAAATTAACTTTAGTAAAGCAAGTATATATTTAGTTTGATATTGTGACATATTGAAATTAAAGTGATAGTTGATTCGAGAAACTATCAACTAAGAAATTTGCTATGGCAAATCCCTGTATAAATCTTAGGACTCAATTTTCTCTGAATATAAATTAAGGACTCAATTTTCAAAAATGTTTTTTTTTAAATATTTTTTTTAAATGTAACAACATTTCTAAATAAGAATATTTTTGTAACTTTCAAAGAAAAATAATAAGGAAGGTTTTTGACAAATGAGACAACAAAATTATTAAAATTACAACGATTGAAACTAGCTATATTGGAAAAAAATATAAAAATTAACAAAAAATACTAGTTACAAAAAAAGTTAAGAGCTTTTAATAAATTATCAAATATAAAAAAAATTTAAGAATTATTTAATTTATTAATTTATTTAAGTAATCAGACACAAAAACGCACAGGAACTATAAAGTGCGTTTTTTTGTCTGATTTCGTAACTTAATATATCGTCTGCATTAATTAATTAGCATATCGGCGGTTACTCCCTCAAACCATTAAGATTGAGTCCTAGAACGTGAAGATCCGATCAATAGAACAAAAGTTATTCAGGGTGGTCCTTTTTTCTTCTTTTTTTTCACACTGTACTTCATTTCTTGGAGGGTATAAAAAAGCATTAATCACTTAAATCGCAAATATTTGATAATTTTTTTAGCCTTTCTTAAATCACTGTCGATAAAAGTATAGAGTTTGAAAGTTAAAAGAACTAATTCGTAAAAAGTGCTTTAGAATAAATAAAAAAATACTGCATGTAAGCATGAAAATATTTATATATGAAAATATTTATCCCGACCTGCCCCAATTCAGGGCATACGGGTAAATGTTTATTAAACCAAGTAAAAACAGAAAAGAACATAAAAAGCAAAAAGTGCATAAAATACAATAGTCATATGCCAACAGCTGGGAGGGCCGCCATATAGTGCTTTAAGCCGACGGCCCACCCTTATATTGAGCCAAATTACAATAGTGTTGAAGACCCCAACAAAGTTACAGGGAATACAGTATGTGTTACAATATATANACCTAAGCATGAATTAAAACTTCTTAATATCTCCTCATGTTTAATCAACCAAGAAATAGCTCATTTCAAAGAGGGAGCTTCTTTCTCCCCCGATTCTCGTTCTCTCGCTGACTCGAGCCAAAACCTATCTTAAATAATAGTCCGACACCCCTTCTTGAAATAGTTAAACCTCACATCCTCTACTGCAGACATGTGGCTAGGGGAGTTCTTTACATAGACAAACTACAAACTCTATTTTAAAGCGATCGTCTTTGGCTTTAAATTCAAGCACCTCCAAAACTTGTTGAAAACATTTTCCGCTTTGGGCTGAAACTCAGATTTTCGCTCGCAAAGGTTTTCTTGGGATGCCAATGTCCTTATGAGGTTTAACAGAAACCCTAACCCTCCACGATGAACTGAACGGAAAAATCATATTATTTCAAGTCTGGTGAATAAAAGGGCCATTCTTGTTCTGTCATAAAGTCTGAATATGGCACCTTTCTTGAAGGGGATTCAGATTTGTGTTAACTTTTGTGTCTAAGGATGTTTTAAAATAAGTTTGCGGTGAAAATAACTCGTTTTTAAATTGTAAGTTATATCCTGCCATCCTTCTTTACTTTTTTCTAAGTTATCCTGCATTTCATAGGCACTTCCTTTCTTTGGAGTGGAACCAGAATTGGTGGATGAGAATGGAAAAGTGGTCGAAGGTCCAGGAAAAGGCTATCTGGTAATTTTTCTTTTTTTCGCATGTACTGTTACCTCTCAAATTTAGGTTATGTCTCAGTGCTTATTCTCCAATTTTTGTAAGTTTTAATGGAGTATAACATGATTTGCCTCCAGGTGGCGCCACTTTAAAAAGTTCTAAATTGAATCACATGTAGTGATATTTATCTTAAATTTTAGCATCGGTGTAGGGAATACCGAACAGTGGCACTTAACTAGACCTAGTATAATATTTCGGGCATTTACCAAAGCAACTATGTGATTGTCAACATTCACCGGGTGGAAGTTAACAACCACCAATTTCGGTCATTTACAGTAACATATACAAACAATGTGTATACATATGTATAAATATTTAGAAAATCCTCTCTCCCCGTATCACCACCTTGTTTATAACTGCTATGTTATAGACAAGATATAATGTAACATAGCTCTTTTATTTAGAAAAAAACAAATTTAGCAATAGAAACTATATATATTTTAATGAACAACCTGTTAAAATAACAGGAAACACCTGTATTTAGTTTTTTGTTTATGGTTACAGGTTATCAAGAGACCGTGGCCAGCCATCATGAGAACAGTGTTTAAGAACCAACAAAGATTTGAAGATGCCTACTTCAAAAAATTTCCCGGTTATTATTTCACAGGAGATGGTAAGTCCAGTAGTATATTTTATTTACATAATCTTAGTTGTAAAATAGATACAAATACCACTGAAGATATTTTAACTCATCACTGTAATCGGTGCAAGCCGGGGGCGAAATTCGCATCGACCAGCCATCGCTGGGATTCGAACCCGGTTCAGCTCTTTTGGAAGGCGAACGCTCTATCCTCTGAGCCACCACGGCTCGCAGTTGACAATTTTATTTTATTTTATAACAGTCGTTGAACAGGCGACCCAATTTTGGGATAACGACATTTAATGTTCAACTCAGTAGCCTTGTAATTTTGAACTAAATCCAAAAGGGAATTCCTGGATCAAGTATTGGGAGAGATTTGCCTTCGTGGAGGACTTTTTTGACGGCCCACATTTGCGTTACATCGAGAGGAAAGCCACATTAACCTCCCACTGTTAGTCTGACGACAAGGGGACTCTAACCCATGATCCATCTACCACTGAGGCTGATTTACATCAGCACTGTGTTCGGTGCGAGGCGACGGGTGCAGAATTCGAATCGGTCAACCATCGCTGAGATTCAAACCCGGTACACCTCATAGGGAAGGGAGCGCTCTATCCCCAGAGCCACCACGACCTGTTAAGCTTCATTGAAGTCAATAATAGAATTATATAATAGAAAATTCTAATTTGTTGCTTTAGAATTTTAAATGCATTGAAATTTTTCAAATTTTGTATGTTCTTCTTAAAATGACTTAACATTTATAATTTCATACGGGAGGTATTTACAGACATTGAAACTTAATCGAATCGAAATTGATGTTTTATGTCATTATTTTTGTAAAAAAAATTGCAAATTTTAAAACACTTTTTTTAAAAGAAAAATTGTAAAACAATTTTAACTGGAATTGAATTTCATAAAAATTTTCAATGTTTCTGAATATCGGCGGCAAGTAAAGTAATAAAATTGAAATTTAAAAAAAACTGTCTTTTTATCAAATAGTCTAAAAATATGAAACAAAAAATTTTCAGACCTATTAGGAAACTGATGCGCCTTACTTTTTAGATCTGACAAATAAAAAAATTAATTTTTGTTTTCCTTTCTGGTCCATTTAGAATTTTTACTCTATTGAGTTATTCAAAGTTTTTCCTAAATAGACTATAAATTTAATGAAAATTATAATAAAATTATAAACTATAGTTAATTAAAAACTTTGTGAAAAACTATTCACAAAATAAACAACACACGATTTTCTGCAAAAATGATGTAAAATATTTTGAATACTCTTATTTTAATCAGAACAAAAGTAACTAAAAGAAATCACATAGTTTCTAAAATATAGTTACATAGCTAAATTAAATTTATAGAGCTGTTCCGTTTTTCTTTTCGTGAATTGTACATTTTTCAGAAATTTAGAAGGTGGGTCAAAATATGGACACCTATGCGGCCACCATAAAATAATTATCAATCATTGTAAGGAGATGGCATGGCTGGCATAGCCTGGTCGGTAGGGCGCTGGGCTCATGTCCGAGAGTTCGTGGGTTCGAACCCCACCGGCCAAAGACTCCCGGTGTAGTAAATGGTGACTGATGCACGTTGAATCTGTCTAGTCTCAAGGTCCTACATGTTCCCATGGCAAATCAATACCTCTGGGGGTACTAAATTGGAGATCGATCGTTCTCTGATTTAGGACAAAATTACTGTGGATGAATGAATGGATCTATGAATGGGTCCGCCCTATAAACGGGTGTGACGTATGGGTGTAGATGAAATCGAATTCTTGGCCATAGATGGCGCCACTGGAAAACAAGAATCTCTCTGCTTTAACAGGCATACGAATGCATGCAAGAGATAGCATGTTTTTTTTTTATTCTTTTGGCTTCAAAACATGAAACCAAAAGAATCACAAAATATTTTGTCACAAAATAGCTTATTTTACATTAATTGTGACACTTTACATTATCCGAAATGTCACCTTTTTTAACCTTTTAGAAGAAATATGTAACGAAGTCGGTTTTAAATGCAGGTTGCAGGAGAGACGAGAACGGTTTCTACTGGATCACCGGGAGAGTGGACGATATGCTGAATGTGTCCGGCCATTTGCTGTCCACCAGTGAAGTGGAATCTGCACTTCTCGGCAATCGCAACGTTGCAGAGACGGCCGTTGTCCCACACTTTCACCCAATCAAAGGAGAATGCCTCTACTGCTTTGTCGTGCTCAAGGACGTAAGTACCATCAGAAGATTCGACAGGGATTTCAAAAGTTCAATTATTTTATAAAACCTTCATATCCGTCAATAATACGAGGGCCGTTTTGTTGTATACACTAATAGGTGGCGCATGCGTCGTTAAGAGTGCTTGTCCCGGCATTTCTTGGGAACAACCGTGCTCAGTTGCGGTTGTGTAGGTAAATTGCACGGTCAGATCTTTGTCTTTAAAATGTTCAAATTTAGCAAATCGCCCGACACGCACGAGATACTGTCAGTGATGCGTTTTAGTCGGTAAAAAACCTGTCTGCTGCATACATTCACTGGCAGATTTGTAAAGTTACGATTTGTGTGGTAGCAAAATTCCCTGCTATGCTGACAGAAAAATTTTGCTACTCTATGACAATGACGCAGCTAGGGGCCTAACTGGCCGAGCGGTATCGCCCGCCAAACGCTCTGTTAAGCGTGGAGGTGGCGGGTCCGAATCCCGCCGTAACCCTGGACGTATTCTTTGTGATGTCCTTCTCTGTATTGTGCTATCTGTTCTTCTACTTAGACAAAGGCTTATAAGCCTTATTTGAGCACACAAGCCTGCAAATGCATGTTGTACCAATAAACCAATATATCTACGCAGCTCATATCCCAGCTTTATTGGACTCTTTTGGTTGGGAAGTCTTGGAGCAACCCTCCCTACAACCTAGACCTTGCGCTGAGTGATTTTCTTCTTTTCCGATATTTCGAACATCATTTTGGCGGCAATCACTACAAAGATGACGAATACGTAAAAATGGCAGCGACCTCTTGGTTAACGGAGCAGGCGGCAAGTTTGTATGAAGAGGGTATTCTAAATCTAGTTGTGGTATGATAAGTGTTTAACCCCTTAACGATTGGTTAATTTTCAAGAGAACGGTCATAAAAGTGCCTATTTTTTTAGCTTTTGTATTTGTATTACATATTTGATTAATGCTGCAACTAGTTTAAAATAAACTAACTATCTACAATTACCTTAAAAATATCCTGGTACTGCCATCATGTGCGTAAAATGAGAAATAAAATGTTTTCCGAGCAAAAGAAATGAATTAGTTTTATTCTTATTGGCGCATTACTACTGAACAATCCAGCCCGTCAATATCACGGGAGCGAGAAATAGTGGGTGAAATCTCACCCCGTCATTTTCACGGGAGCGAGAAGGAAGGGGTTAAACAAACTTGGCAACTATGCTGGAGAAAAAAAAAAGTTTATAGAATCTGAAAATAAATTTGCTTCTTGAAAATTTTCCTTTCTTTTAAACATAGATATTCTAAAAAATTTTATTAAGAATAAATGATGTTCAAACAAATTTAACAATGAAGTTTTAGATAATAAAACTTTAAATATCCATTACATTTTTAAAAAAAATTTTTGAAAATAATAAATTCTTTTACCATTATAAAATTTCCGCATACATTGACAACCAAATAAATTTAAAACGTTGAGTTAGATTTTACTAAATTTGTATTTTTCCCATGTATTTTTTATATTAAAAGTTTTCTGCCCCCTCTAATCTTTTATTATGGTTTGTCTATAGAAAGAACTCCCCTTGCCATGAGGTCTAAGGCCATCTGCTGTTATGGAAACAAGAAATACCGCAATAGGCCTGATTTCCCTTCTCTCACCGACCCGAGTTAAAACCTGTCTTAAATAATGCCCAACACCCTTGACAATACTTGAAATAATTAAACCTCGTAACCATAGTAACCGCCACCACTCCAGACAAATGGCCGGGGAGTTCTTTTAAACAAACTTCCATTTTGCGAATTTCTCTATTTTCCAATTTTTTTTCGATGAACCAAGAACGGTTTGGAAATTTCTTCGTAAAATACCTTCCAAATATTTTCTATTTAACGAACTTTTCTTTGAGATCCACTCTCCCTATTTCCCAAAATATTTCAGAACATTTCAGACCTGTTAACTCATTTTATGGGGGGAATGATTTTGAATTGATTTTCGAAGCCACTTAACTTTTAGAGAAAGCAGTAAATTTATTTGCATGTCGTACAGGAATCCATGCCAAAAATCAATTTACGAGAAAGCATAACAGAAATTTCTAAAACATGGAACTATGATCGTACTTTTCGAAACAGTTTCGCTAAAGCTGGATTCTTATTCAGTGCGTAGGGCGAGGATGATATTCCTTTAGAAGAGATTAAAAAAAATGTGGATACAGCTAAGAGTAGAACCACGAAATTAATGATGACGTACTGATAAATGATTTTCTTTTTATTGATTCTGAAGCTGCAACCACAGATATATTAACTGAATCGGATATTTTGGACAGTTTGAAAAATAAAAAACAGCAATAAATTGTGAGGAAGACGAAGAATCTGAAGACGGAAATGATGAAGAAATCACCAAACCTTCATCTGATAAAATGTTAAAATCATTTGAAACAAGTCGATAGTAGATAATAATTTTCAAGATAAAGGTGTATCGATTGCTATTTTAATTATGTCTAGGGTTTATGAATTTAAAACTAGTTTTGTGTTGCTTAAACATTTCAAACGATGATAACGAATTTTCCATGTAACGAACTTATTATCGGGATTTAGCGACTTCGTTAAATAGAGGTCCGACTTATTTTTACGCCTAAGCTTGAAAAAAACTCGCCATCTAATATTTTTATACTTGTAGTGTTTTCAACATAACACGTTCTTTCAACTAACTTCCAACGAAACAAACAACAAATGATTCTGTGGAGACTTAGCAAGCTTTCTATGACGCTAACCCAAAATGAAACAAAGGGCACTATTTTTTACAAATATAGCCAAATGAGGGATAACACTCAAAACATTGCAAACCTCTCACTTTATTTATGCTGTGATATTAAATTTGTTAAATTTGTTTTAAGCTCATGACCTGTTAGAATTTATAAATTACAGAAAACTCTTATGAATGGTAAAATGTACGCATAAATTTAAACACATATCACAATTATAAAACTTCCAAGAATATAAAGCCTGTTCACACATTGCCTCGTAAGAATAACACAAGCGGAGAGATACACCGGAAGTTCTCTAAGGTTATAGGAAGCTTGCTATAGTTTACATTCACTCAACCATTCATAACTTTTGTTCTAATAATAGAACTTTTCACTTACAAAGAGAAAATCTTAGCGTCTCAGAATGTTAACCTTGTATACTGATGAAATAAGTGCAGCGTCAGATCTGCGTCAGAAAAAATATTTCGCTGGAGGTAAGCGTTTACCAAATAATAATTCATAAAGAAGATAGTAACAGATTAACAAGTAACAGATTTAAGGTTTAAGTAACAGTAAGTAGCAAATTTAAAGTTTTACTGCAGTCAGTCGTCGACTGAATGTCCTCTTTAAATGGATTCCTCTTAACGTAACTGAAACAATTATTTTTTATTTAAAAAAAATAGTTCATTTAAGCAATCGAAAAATTAATTGAAAAATATTTTTTTTAAGAAGTACTTTATTTTATTTCAGGGATGCAGTTTTGATGACAAAATAGTTCAAGAACTAAAACAACAAGGTAACAACATTCACAGTCTCTCTAAAATATGACAATATTAGCAGTCGCCACAGGGCGACTAAATATAAATGGGCATTAAAAAATTATTCGCCAATCGCGACTTTTGTTGACGAAAATGTGCATTTAATTATTGTTTATTCATTTTCAAAAGAAATGTCTTACCTCAGACAACACCGTTACCAGATCGCAATAAAAATGCAACAGTTACGGAGACTCATTTGCGAAGTCACATGCGATCTCTCTCTCTCTCTCTCAACTCTTTTTAAAACAGTTTCAAGAGTGGCCCAATTTACCAAACACTATGAACTGTGACAATAGTTTAAAATAGCGAAATAACTCATAGCAATTTAAAATCTTAAAAGATATATCAAATAATAGCTGCGCTTTCAGAATCTACATTGAACGATAAATATTATTCAAATCTTCAGCAAATGCATTATTTTTTATAACTTTTTAAGTTAAAAATATTCTTTTTTTGAATTAATCAATTAATAAAATAAGACGAGTGTTATAAAAAAATAAAAATAATCATTCTTACAACACACAATTACTTATTGAATGTTTTTATTATTGAATGTTATAAAAAAATTAAACCTAAGCACTGACAATATATTAGTGATTTTTCAAAATCAACAATAACAATAGTTTTAAAAAAATCATGTCTCGTATATATGTATATGAGAGAGATTGAGAGAGCCCGTCCGCTGTAAAGACTTCAAAGTATTCTTCCAGGTAATTTATAGCCAAATTTCATTTCAAAATTAGCCAAACAATGTTCTATGATTAATTTTTTCCTATAGAAAACTTCCAATCAAAATTCAATTTTGCTTATAAATTGAATTATTTTATAAAATTCAATTTCAAATCAAGAGTCAATTTACAGTAGGGGAGGGGGAGTAAATGAGCGATAAAAAAGTGGGATGATTTTTCGTCTTTGAAGAAAAGAAATAGGAATAGGCAATATGTTAATATTTGATAACTTCTTAGACAAGAGCAGTAATAAAAGGATAAACCTGAAGCAACATTACGTAATTATGTATGAAAAATGCATTATGTTTATGAGAAATAGTGTATATGTATATGAGAAAACATATTTTCTATGAAAATAGTTGGAAGACAATATGCATCTGACTACGACGCGATTTGCAGGAATACAGTTACAGAGTTGAAATTTTTCATGATGCTATTTTCGCTTATTAACTTAACAAGAGTTTTAACGATTTAATTTATAAATATAAGCTCATCATATTGGTGACGACTTTATTGGTCACGACTATTTCGCTTTGCATTTCGAATCAGAATTAGTTAATGATGTTAGTGTTCTTGATGATTTATTTTACAGTTCTATTTACAAAAGTTTAAATTACTACCTTCATCAATAAAATTCGAAACATTCAAAGATATAAAATGGTGTAAATATAAACATAATTAGTGCTCAAAAATAAATAAATATACACTTAAAGCCATTTTGTTTCTTCTCCACAAAAAAAGGAGCGAACAATCTCAGAAAAGCAAAACAAACTGCTACCATAGCAAATTAATTTTATGAACTAGATCAAAGTTAAAGATTAAACAGACGATAATTCTCAACAACGACAATTCCATCTGCTATTTCGAATTGTTCTTCTAACAGATTTTAAGTGGAATGTTGTACTGCTACATACTTAAGTGAGTCATGAAAAAACATAACTCGAAAGTTTTCTCATAATATAGTAACACTAGGAGACAACAACTGTTACCATAGCAAATTTATTTTATGAACTAGATCAAAGTTAAAGATTAAACAGACGATAATTCTCAACAACGACAATTGGGTATAATATGAAAAAAACACAACTACTTCGATTTAGTAGGAACAACATATGACGCAATGCTAAACGAATGGAATTTAGTTGTTGTTTATTTAGTTCTTGTTATTAGTAGTTGTTGTTATTTGTTTCAGTTGTTGTTGTTTATTTAGTTGTATTTAGTTTCAATAACTTTTCTTTATAATGCAATAAAATCTGGCGAGCAGCTATTTAAACGATCGAACACTTCGTTTGTTTATTTGTGGCTTGAAGTTAGGCTCGCAGAAAATGCCGTTCATGGGTTAAATTTAGTAGGAACAACACAACCTGTGACGTAGGCTATATTATACCCAATTCCATCTGCTATTTTGAATAGTTGTTCTAACAGATTTTAAGTGGAATGTTGTACTGCTACATATTTAAGTGAGTCATGAAAAAACATAACTGCAAAGTTTTCTCACAATATAGTAACACTAGGAGACAACAAACACTATAATCTTTTTTTTTTCCTTTGCAGTGGTTAATATCATCGGTCCTTTTGCCCGACCAGAGTATTTCCATCCAGCCTCTTCCCTTCCAAAGACAAGATCCGGTAAAACTGTTCGACGAATTCTAAGAAAAGTCGCCGCCAACGACAGAGACATCGGAGATCTGAGTACTTTATTGGATGAGAATGTGGTGGATGAACTCTTCGAATCAAAGAACTCCTTGAAACTAAATAAATAAAATAAAAAATCGAACATACTAATAAAAAATTGTTTTTTGTTTATAGGAGAGAGAACGTCAATGTTTTAATTTAAAATCCGAATGATTATTTTCGACTTAACACACCGGTAGGAACCATAGATCAATGAACATTCGCAAGAAAGTCCAAAAGTTACCTCACCTTTTTATAAGGCCAGTTTGTTCAAGCAATGAGGAATTTTTCGCTGAGTGGCATTGTCTCAAGTTTCAAGCCAAGTTTCTAACTTTTTCAGCCGAGTTTCAAAATTATTGTTCATGTTAAGAGAAAGTATAGGCCATTATGTATATTTAGAACATAAGTTACATTCTTCTATTACTTATAAAAGGAATACTGACAATACAATTAGGCTCCCTTGTGCCCTAACTAATTTATCTATAACTTTGCAGCTCGGTCTTGTGTTTAGGTATATTGCAAAAATAAATGTGGCCAAGTATGAAAACTATAAGTTAATATAAAAGCTAAATGCTTGCCTTCATGTATATGCAGAGAACATTAAAATCTTCAGAAATATCAGAATAATAGAATCGAGAAAAAAACGGGATTCAATCTTCTAATTCACTTCCGCGAATTTGCATAGGGCTCAAAATATTACCCATCGTGAGGCCTCTTATTCGTCTATAATTATGTGGTTAGGCTCCATATATTGGTACATTAAACACAGTGCATCTTACCAAGTTTCAAAATTATTGATTAATATTAAGAGAAGATATAGGCCTTTATGTATATTTAAAACATAAGCTATATTCTTCGATTATAAAGGAAAAAAGCCGGGATAGCCTGGTTGGTAGGGCACTGGGTCCATGTCCAAGAGTTCGATCCCCACCGGCCGAAGACTCCCCGTGTAGTTAATGGTGGCGGATGCACGTTAAATCTGTCGAGTCGCAAAGTCCTCCATGTTCCCATAACAAATTAATACCTCTGGGGGTACTGATCCAGGAGTTTCCTTGTCTTCTGAAGTGGTTCAAATTACAAGGCTACGGAGTCGAACATCAGTAGTCGTTAACCCAAGATTGGGTCGGCTGTTCAACGACAGATATAAATATTATAAAGGAAATATTAACATTTCAATTCGACCCCTTATGCCACAACTAATTTATCTATGATTTTACTACGAGGCCCTCTGTTTAGGTATATTTGTAATAATAAATGAGGCCAAGTGAAAAAATTATAGGTTAATATAAGAATGAAATATAAGCATTTATGTACATGCACATATGTATAAGAAAAACATGAAGACGGTAGGTTGTCGTGTTTCCAGCACTCAAAAGTAAACGCCCAATTTATAGATTCGCCTAACGTGAATGAAGAAAAAAGTTATTTAAAAACAAAATTAGAAAACCGCAATGTCCGAGAGAGGCAAATCAGAGTAAAATGCATTTCTACGCGTTATAGAGAGATATCTCTTGTCAAAGAATTCCGGGCATCAAGATGAGTTGATGTGAGAGGGGTGGTATGAGTTTTGGAATTATCGAAATTGATTTTATCCCCCAAGATTCCAAGAATATGCAGCAATTAATGATTTATCACATTCTCGGTCTATCTACCGTGTTCCTTTAGTCTTAATTTTTAAAGCGCGTCTGGTTTATCCGATTCAGCCAAGGTTACCCTGGCAATGTATTCCACGGTTTTTCTAGTTTTTTCTCTTTTATTTTCCATTGGCAAGTATTCCTTTTTTTGTTTCAAATCACTTTCGTTTTCTTCATTCACGTCTGGCGAGTCTTGAAGATGGGTGCTTATATTTGAGCGCGCTAAACATTTGCTTCTAGCACTGCTATTCTCAAAGCTCGCAAGACGTGAAGGACTTGTGACGTGAATTTTTGAGTGGTCGAAACAAGTAGATTTCTGCTTTCATCTTCATATGTTTTGAAGTCAATGAAGTTTTTATCTTTCCTCTTCGGTTTCTCAAAATAATTCATTTAGCAACACAGTATAGTAAATTAAAATACTTAACGCGATTTTAAAATAAGTTTTACTTCAGATAATAATTACGACTCTTAATTTGATAGATTGATTATATAATCAGTCTCAAAAAATCATTCCAGTACCATTTTTTTTTTTTACTGTTGCTCTGCTTTGAAAAACATTTTTTTTTTAAGGCTGTTAAATAGTACCGTCTACAACAATGGAATGGCCTCCTCTCCCTTAGAATCAAAGTTAATAGTTACAAGATCAATTATTTTTAGCAAGTTTACGTCTACACCCCATTCGAAACTTTTTTGAAATGAATTTTATTCATTGATCTAAAACTTATTTTAGATATATTTTAGGATATACTTTACGGCAATTCAACAGTTTATATTTTATACCCTTTATTTATTTATATATATATTTTTTTTGTTGCTTAAAATTACTCAAGTTATATGATTAAATGCAGGAATAATATGATGGTAAACGGCGCACTGCTTCCTGCCTCTCTCAACAAAATAATGGAGTAATATTAGTTTCTAATAAGTTTAATCTAAATAAGTTGATTTTAATAAGTTAATTTTAATAAGTAATAACTGTTTAAGTGATAAAATGTTTCGTTCAAACAGATTTCAATTTTAGGGTTAATGAATTCATTGACACCGTTCAATTGAGAAGCAAGAAAACATTGAACATTTCTATCTCCTTACGGCAAAACATACGAGGTGCATCCAGAAATTAAGTTTCTCCAATTTATTACAAAAAGAACTCACACTTTCAGGAACATATTTATTGGCAACAAGTACAGCTATGTTTCAACTATTTTTCAACATAGCCACCACCAGAATTGAGACACTTGTCGTGTCGTAGGATCAACTTTTGTATCCCTCTGTCGTAGAACTCTGAACCTTGTGTTAGGAACCAGCGTGTGACAGACGTCTTCAGCTCTTCGTCGTTGCCAAAACGCTAACCGGAGGACAGGAATTTCTTGAGGTGCAGGAAAACGTGAAAATCGCTGGGAGCAAGATCAAGGCTGTAGGGTGGATGATCAAATAACTCCCAGCCAAATTCCGTCAAAATAGCTGCCGTGCCGTATGTGGACAAGCATTGTCATGGAGGAGCGCAACCCCTGCAGTAAGCATTCCACGACTCTTGTTTTGAATGGCACGTCACAATTTCCGCAGTGTTAACCGTAAACGTTTGTCACACGCTGGTTCCATTCACAGGCGGCAGAGTTCCAAGGCAGAGGGATACAAAAGTTGATCCTACGACACGACAAGTGTCTCAATTCTGATGGCGGCTATGTTGAAAAATAGCTGAAACATTGCTGTACTTGTTGCCAATAAATATGTTCCTGAAAGTGTGAGTTCCTTTTTTTTAAAAATTCGGGAAACTTACTTCCTGGATGAGCCTCGTGAGAACAATTTCTATTAATTATTTCTGAAAAAAAGTACATTAAAGCTATTTGATGAACATATTATTTATAGCTATAAAATGATTTGTAACCCAAAAAAATGTCTTATTATACCTTATTTTAGTAAAAAGAATTTTAAAAAATAGCAAGTAGGTTTTGGAATCTTTTGCTGTTTAACAAAATAAGGCACATCGAGCATTTTCCTGTAACAATATCTTGTAAATTGTGCTGAAGTTTAGAAATAATTTTAAAAATTTTTTATGAGCAAATTTTTTTCAACATTATCTTTTTTAAAAGGGTAACTTTCCAAAAGTTAGAGGGAGAGTATAAGTTTGAACATCAAAATAAAATTGCAGATCTAGAATTTTTCGTCCATATAAAAACAAAGCAACCTGGTTTATTTATTTATTTTACGCATGTGTGCCTTTACTTTTCATTACTCAAATAAATAAGAAACAATAGAAAAACAAGCAATAGTTTGTCTTTATTTTGTAAAGAAAAAAAGTAGTATGCTTTGTAAATAGCAACTGTTTTGCATCAAATAATTTTAAAGCAGTCGGAATGCTTTTAATATCTAAACAAAGGTTAATTATCACCCCGTAATTCTATGTTTTCTTTTGCTAAGAACTTTACAACAATTTAAAAACTAACGTTTAATTTAGAGGAAATTCTAAATTAAAATACTAAAAAATATCTATATAGATTAGTATGTTATTGTAAAATAAACTCAAAATATATATTTTTCGCATTACTCGGTGCGGGTTGGAATCTGGTGGATAAATCAACAAATAAGGATTCCTCCTTGATTTCCAGCAAATTGTTTCTTTAATTATTGTCCCTTTCAGCCTTTTGGGTGTGATTTTTGCGCTCTCCTAAATTCTTATAATAATGCAAATGACTTGGAGGCACTTGCCTCCTGCTTGTTTCGTTCGAAACCCTCCGCCATTGATCTTTTAATTATTGTTATTATTATTTTCTAAAACGCTCATTTTTTCCACAAAAATAACAAACATTTTGTTTACAAACTATATAATTATTGTAGTTTCATGTAAGAACATTTTGTCAATATGTTTATCGTAACAAAATGGACAATCACCTGCATTCAAAATATAATCATAAACTTGAACGCAAAAAAAAACAATTAACTTTAGATTATAATTTTTTTTTAAATTTAGTTGAACGTAACCAGTACCTATTAGTTATAGCCATTTTTTATTAGTATTAATTAGATTAATTTGGATAAAAAAAAAATAAGCAACAACAGGGTATGTAGCCAAATCTTTGAACAAAAAATAAGCACCTTTTAAGCACTCAAAAGGTATTTTTAAGCACTATATACATTAACAAAATGCAAAATAATTTTCAAAGACTTTACATGATCATGATAAAAGAACTCCTTCTTTGATTATATTAGCAATTATAAAATGATCAAGAAACTTTTCAGTTCGATATAGGAGGGTGGAAAATGAAGTCTGAAATTGAGAATATCTTGCAAAATGCAGCAGAGTAGCATATGAGAGAGCAAGAATCTCACCGAACCCAGCTCGAGTAGATGCACATTTGGACTCGCAAGTATTTAATCAAATATGTAAAATGATTAGCGCTTTCATACGCTATCGACCGACGGGACGCATACAAGGATTGTTGTTGAATGAATTGTGAAAACGTTGAATAGAACAACGTGAAAAGCCAATACCTCCTAGAT